CCCGGCTCCTTCTGCCTTCACTCGCCAAGGGCCCCCTGCTAGCATGCTCTGCATTGGAGACTCTGGGACTTCCAAGCCCAGGGTTGTGCTCACTCAGCTTCTCAAATGCAGATTCCGGTTTGGACGCCAGCGCCTAGCACGGTACTGGAGCCTGGTAAACGTTCAGCAGACTCTGGCTGGCACAGTGAATGGATCACCCAGAAACATGCAAGTACCTATCACAGACAGTTTGCTGTGGTGGGGAAAACACATATTATGGTGTCAAATAAAACTGGGCTGAATCCCAGCTCTACCAATAGCTCTGTGATCCTGGGTATGCTTCCTAACCTCTCTAGTGCTTTGAGTTTCCTTATCTGTATAATAAGATAATCTCCGCGTCACTGGACTGTCGAGGCCCTCGAGACCATTGCAGGGCGTGACCGCTGACTGGTTCTGGTTTTACATACCAGCAAAGAACTGCTCAGAGAAGGGCAGCAACTTGTTCAAGGTCACACAGCAGGTGTGCAGCCGGGCTGAGGTTTGAACCAAGTCCAGCTGGCGGGGGCGGGTGGCTGCCAGGGCAGCAGCCCTGCGCTGCCAACCCAGACAGTGGCCCACCTGGGGCAGGAATGATCAGTGGGCTGTAGATGATCTCCAGCTCCAGCTGGGGTCAGGGGTGTGGGCTCAGGGCAGGCTACCCAGGCTGGTGGTGGAGGGGCCTGGACTTTGGGCAACAAATTCCAGGCAAGGAGAACGGGGTGTGCATTCTCAGCTGGTGCTGAAGACGGACAGGCATGCCACATGGGGCCCCGGGAATGCCGGCGGCGCTGCGTGGCCGGGGCCAGGCCCGCTGTCAAGGTCTTTGCAGCCAGCCCCAAGCCCGCCTTGCACCATGTAACCCTGGAAGTCTGCTGACTGACAGCTGATGGTGTGCATGCTGGCAGCCCGAAGTCACAAACCAGGGGCCGGAGGGGCTGGCCAGGGAGTGTGGCGGTCACCCCGCGTCCCTGCCCACAGAGCTGGGATCAACAACTGTGATTACCTCATGAAACTCGAAGCCAGCCCAACCCCAACCCTGCTGTCTCCCTATGTCCTTTCTTAAATGACACCAGCCATGTCACCCCGCTCCCCCTCCGTGTGCCCACAGCGCTCGGGTCCGTTCTACCGCCATCCTCCAGCTGCCCGCCCACCATCCATCCGGACGCTGTGGGGTGCGAACCACGTGCTAGGTAGGCACCGTCGCCAAGATTCTCATGGCTTAGTTGACCGAATTCCTCACAACACAGTGAGGTATGTCCTATCATCATCTCAATTTTAATGACGAGGAAATGAGGCACAGAGAGGTCAAGCCACTAATCTGGCGTCACAAAGAGGAGTGGCAGAGCTGGAAAACCCCGAAGCCTTGGCCTGGAGTCCATACCCTTGATCGCATCAGTACCTTCTGCATTCAGCCACCAAAGGTGTTTACGGTGCTGTTCCCAAGGTGCCGGCCACGTGGGGCCAGCTGTCACGCCCCTGACGAGAGACCCTCTCTCTGTGTATAGTCTCTGTGGGCTGTCACGGCCCAGACCAGCTGGGGCCTTCTCACCTCTCTGCCTGATGTGGGACTCGCCCGAGCTTAGGAACCACATACATCTGGCTGCAGGCCGCCTGGCTGCGGGAACGGGGCCAAGTCACCCGCAGGGAGGAGCAGGGCTGGGGCTTGGTCTAGTCCAGCTGGCCAGACATCCAGCTCCACCAGGCCCTCTTCGGCACCCCAGGCACCTCTGGGGTCTCTACTGGGCTAGAGGCTGGAGCTCTTTACCGGGGGAAAAGCCAGTCTTCCAGAATGCTGAAATGGGAAGCTGGCCTGGAGCAGAGCCCAGGGGCCTCCTTCTGTTGCCACTGCCGGCTCCCCTGTGTACTGTGGGCCTGCCCTCAGCCAGGTGCTAGGGTGGGAGCTGCACCTCTGAGCCTCTGTTTCCATCTGGCGAACAGGACAGGACCGCTCAAGGGCTTGTTCAGGGGCGGGATGGGGTGTGAAAGAGCTCTGCACATGGTAGAGAGGTCTACAGTGCAAGAGGTCATGGTAGCTCCTGGAGGGGTCCCAGGGCAAAGGTCGGGAGGGAGAGGTGGGGGTCAGAGAAGGCTCCATGGCGTCTGACCTACAGGAGCGAGTCTGCCAAGCAGAGATGGGCAGGCAAAGGGCAATCAGGCAGAAGACTCTGCAAATAAAACACAGAGTAGACCCTCCCAACCACCTCTGCCCTTGGTGGATTTGGCAAAGCACAGAAAAACCAGGCCGCCAAAGGTCAGGGAATGCCTGACACCACTGCCTGACGGAGGGGCTATAATCCCACCCCAACTGAAGCCACTGTCCCAGGCTGCTGGGGACAAGATGGATGCCGGCACTGTGGGAGGAGGGGCACGTCTCTCTCCTTGGCGGACAGGACTCCCAGAGGCGACAGAGGACTTGCCCAAGGTCTCCGGGCTGGTAAGTTACTGGTGTTACTCACACAAACTCAGTTCTTGGCATTTAATCCCGCAACCACTACGCTTCATATGGGCAGAGCTGGCTTCCTGGGCAACTGCACGGGGCCCCAAGCTTAGAAGGACCCTCTCCTGGTTTGATGCTCTGCTGTCACCGTCTAGGGATCCATAATCATTTGTGAACAATGAGACTCTCATTTTTTGTCTTGCCCTGGGCCCCACAAATTACGTAGCCAGTCCTGATTCTAGTAGATTCTGACGGACACTGGTGGGGAAGCGGGGCAGGGCCAGTGAAGCAACTTTGACCTCTCTGGGACTTTGCAAGAGCTGGGCTCTGTGCTCGGTCTGCTTTGTGTCTCTAAGGCAGCCTGGCAAATCTCTGTCCTCTTCTGCCTGTCTCCTGGAGGTCCTTCCTAAATTTCTTCCCCACACACGGACTAGCCCCCCACACCAGACGGAACCCACGACTCCCTGTGCCATGGAAGCTCTGACAGGTGAGAAGCCACCAACCCCGCACAGCTCCTCCTCCTTGGAACACTCCTTGTGTGTGCACGGGAGCGCACGCCCGTGTGTACGGGGGACTGTGTGCGCTGCAAGAGCTTGCGCCTATCTGCTGTGGGGCATCACCACGGTAGTCTGCGGATGCGTGCGAGCGTGTATGGGCGTGCACGTCTACCTGCGTGCACACGTGTATGCTTGCATGTGCGAACCATGTCTGTGTGCGTGTGCATGTGAGGGAGTGTTCCTCCATATGTTGCCGCATGTGTCTGTGCACACGTGACCGTTCGTGCATGGGTGTGCACGCACATCTGTATCCCTTAGCACGCATGGGCAGGTTTACAAGCACATGCGTGTCTGTGCGCATGAGCGTGTGTGCACATGTATTCATGGATACAGGTATGACTGTGGGTTGGGAGAATCCTCTGGAACTTATATGTGTATCAATACTTGTAGATGAGAACATCATGCCCGTGTGTAACTATCACACCACCCAAATCATCTTCCTCCTCACGAAAATCTTGGCCCCCTCAGAGACACACTGGACCACAACCTGGCCCACCACCTCCAAGAAGCCTTCCTAGACTCCAGACTCCCCCATACTCACTCAGAGCTCTATCATTACCCCTCACCCCACACCATGGCAGCTTTCCCACCCTCATGCCCCAGCCCCCACCCCGGCCAACTGCAGTCCTGCCAACTTCCCTGCCTTGGTGTCTTATGTTTTCACTCCTGCTCTGTGTCCATTGTTCCGGCCCTACCTGAGGCATCTGACCTCTTACTGTGCCCTTGGGACAGTCTCTCTAGTCTCCCTGCTTCTAGCAGGGCCCTTCTGACAGCCTCTCCAATGCAGCCACCTTCATTAGGCCCCTATCTCACTTAGAACCCTCCACGGTTCCCCACTGCCCTTGGGATCTAGTTCTCCATCTTGGCATTTGTGGCCCTTTACAATATTCCCATCCCCTTGCCAACCTCATCCCCCGTCCTGCCAGGCTTTCCTACGCATCCCCTGCTCCTGTCTCCTTACAAAGCTACTCACTTTTGGGTTACCTCCTCCAGAATGCACCCTCCCCCCACCTCTCAACACTTCACTGCACTGGTCCGGGGCTTGCACAACATCTGTTGTGCTCTCCCTGCTTCTCCGCCAGAGCCCAGAATGAGATGAGCCCCTGTCCCCTGTATCCTCGGGCCTGACATCGGGCCTGGCATACAGTAAGTGCTTAATACAAGCTAGGGAAACTGAAGTAGGGAGGCAGAGGGAGAGAGAACCTTATCCAGCCAACATGCCCCTCCTCTAGAAGGGGCCCTAGGTACCCTCTCGGGGGCCCCAGAGGCCAGGCCTGATTCGTGTCACATCCCATCCACAACTGAGGCGCAGCCCCAGGCCCCTGCAGCCCCTGTCATCTTATGAGAGTCCCCTCCCTTTGCCGTGAGTTGGGGTAGGACCCGGCACTTCTGAAGACCCCGTGACGGCCTCAGTTCCTGCCCCCAGGAGGAGGCTAGCAGAGGGGGGCACGGCCAGGGACAGGATGGTCCAAGGATTAGGGACTGGTGCACTGGAGCTACATCGACCCAAAGGTGAACCCCATGGGGGCTCAGCCAGGTACATGACCTTGGGCAAGTTACTTCCCAACCCCAAGCCTCCGTCTTCTTGCCTATATAATGGACCTGATTCCAGCACCTGCCTCACAGGTTGGTGTGCAGATGGAAAGAGTCAATAACTACACAGCACTTAGTGCCGTGCCTGGCACCCAGTGACGCGCTCGGCACATCCGCGCGTCCGCCATTATTCTCAAGTACAGAGGGGAGGGCAGGGGAGGGACAGGCCCGCCTAAGGCCACACGGGCCCTGGCAACAGCATAAAACCTAACATCCAAGTCCCAGGCCAGGACACAAGCCCCTCCACTGTCTGAGAGGAGGGGGGCCAAGGAAGAAGTGAGAACTGAGAAATAAGCCCCATCCCCTCATTCCTCAGTGCTGGCGGCCCAGCTGCCCGCTCCCCCGACCCCGCGGCAGCAGACGCACAGCGCCAGGGGCCAGCCCATCCGGCTTACCTGCTGAGGCCTCTGCGGACGACCGGGACTGGAGGCTGCTAAGGGCGTCAGGAAAAGGAGGCCGAGGTGGGAAGAAGGTGACAGCCCCCGCGGTCCGACGGGGCGGAGCACAGCACTGCAAGTCCTGCGGGACAGACCAGAGGGCGCAGTGAGCTCCAAGCCAACCTCGCGGGCGGCCCCCACCTCCTCCACTGACCTCCGGGCCCTGCCTTCCCCGGGCTCGGCTGGCCATCTCCTGGAAGGCTGAGCTGGCCCCCCAAAGTGGAGCCATCCCAGAAACTGGATGCTGCCCCCCACCTCCCCAGCCAGGGCCTGTCTCCTGAACTTGGTGGCAGAGGCCCAGCCCGGGCCCCAGCACTGAGGGCCAGCCCTCGGCAGCCGGGCAGCGAGAGCAGCAGCTCGCGGGCACACACACACACGTCGGTGCTGCAGCCGGCCCGGGGCCCCGGGCGCCCGGCCTTGGGACATGTCTGGTGCTCTGCTCCGAGCCCTCTCCCCCACTGCTCTTTCAGAGCCCTGCTGGCCTTCGAGACGCTGCTCAAGTACCTCCACGGAGCCCTCCCGGACAGGCCCTTCCTTTCCTTGTTCACCCTCTGGGGGCATGGGGTATGGCTGACCGTGTCTTCTCCAGCTTTCTGGAGGTCAAGTTTATCCCTCTCCTCTGAGGCTAGCAAGGCCAAGGATTGTTGGAGGGATGGATGGACAAACAAATGAGTGACTGACGGACGGTGCAGTGAAGGTGTTTAGTGAATAAGATGAATAAAACTGGCCAACTGACGTGTGTCTTGAAGATTTATTGATTGATTTATTTATTTTAAATTTATTTATATGAGAGAGTGAGAGAGAGTGAGCAGGGGGAGGGGCAGAGGGAGAAGCAGGCTCCCCACTGAGCAGGGAGCCTGATGGATGTGGGGCTCGATCCCAGGACCCCAGGATCATGACCTGAGCCGAAGGCAGACGCTTAACTGACTGAGCCACCCAGGTGCCCCTGATGTGTGTCTTGAAATCAGGAAGCCCACTGAGCTCTCCAAGGGCCTCGTGATGCCCTTCCCTGTTAGATTCTAGAATACAGCATTCAGGTTGGGGAGAGGCAAGAGACTTGGTGAGGCTGATACTCTGTTGATTCCCAAATGCAGAAAGCAAGGCCCTGCTGGGGAAAGGGTTTCTTCCCAGGGTCTTGCAGCAAGAGAGAGGCAAGGCCAGAGGTAGATCCCAGTCTCCCTGGGGACTGCTTTGCTCACTGCCCAGAGCTATCTCGGATGGAGGCCACCATGGCAGCCCCTCCAGCTCTTGCATCCTCGTGTGTCAGTTCTGCCAGGCACCCAGCTTCTCTGAGTCTTGGGGGTCTGGGAGGCCATCTGGTCTGATGGCCCTATATCCAGACCCTACATCTGGTCTGATGGCCTGTGGCTCCAGGTGGGCCCACTGGGGACATTACAGGGAGCCTCAGGGTCAGAGATCTTCAGCCAGGGGGACTTTCTAAAAGCCCCATGGACACCTCGCTCCCCTCCACAAAGCCTTTGCCGGCTTCCCAAACATGGCTGGAGGGGCATGCACTGGTCACCACCTTAGAAACTAGTTTGGAAGTATCTCCCACCCTGTGGCTTATCAGCAACCCAGCAATTCCACTTCTAGAGAAACGTGTGCATGGGGGCACCCGAAGATGTGTACTAGAAATGTTCAGAGCAGTGCTATTCGTAAGGGCCAAGAACCCCAAAAGCCTCCCAGATGGCCATCAACCATAGAATAGATACCTGGTGTGTCCACACAATGGAATAAATACCACACAGCAATGAGAACTAAGGATCTGCAACTAGATCCAATGATAGAGAAATCTTACAAACCCAACAACCCAAAGAAGCCAGACACGATAGAGAACATACTTAAGGGGCCCATTTACAGAAAAGTCAAGAACAGGCAGACTACTCCGTGTTTGTGGTCGACTAAATATGGTGACAGATTCTTTGCAGCAGTAACTCCTTTCAGAGGGGGGAGGGTAGTCTATTCTCTACCCTCCGGATCTGGGCTGCAGTTGAGACTTGTTTTGATCAATAGGATTTAGTGAAAGGAACAGTTTCTGGCTTACAGAGACTAGGACTTCAGGCACACGTTGTTTATGGCCTTGGCCCTGTCGGAGGCCAGTCTCCTCTACTGGAGAATGGGGGGACAACTGAGGCCACCCAGCCAACAGCCAGCACTGACTGCCAGATGTGACTGAGCCCAATGCCAACCTTCTGGTCTAGCCGGCCCTTCAGGTGACTAGAGTCACATGAGCCCAAGGGAAACCAGCAGAGGGACTGCCCAGGCAAACCCCAGAACTCAGAGACATAATAAATGGTGGTGGTTTGTTTGAAGCCACTAAGTTTTGGGGTGTTTGTATTGTTGGGCAGCAATAGGTGGTGGAGAGCATGCTGTTGGAAATCAGGAGTCATTGTCCTGGAGGGGAAGCAGGGACTGGGAGGAGGCACACAGGGGGTTCTAGGGCATCTGGAATGTTCTTCATCTGTGTGGTGGTTACATGACTGTGTTCATTTCATGACAATCTGTCAAGCCACACTTCGGATAGGCACACTTTTCTGCATGGACATAATACTTCAATGGAAGCTGAAAACAAACAAACCTTCTGTGGCTCTCCACCCAGCCATACCAGGTCCAGCCCCCCCTGCTCTGCCCACCTCGCTAGCCCAGCCCCCGCCCGGCTGGCTTCATCTCACTTTCCCCTGCACACTCACAGAGCCACCTCACACCCCTGCCCCTGGGATGCCTTTGCTCTTCTCTCCATGATTCAAGCCGGAGGGCAGGTGGCACCTCCTCCTGGAAGCCTTCCCTGACTGCCCCCAGGCTTTGCCCAGGTATCTAGACTCACGCAGCTCTCTCTCTGGGGCTGGGCCTTCCTGAGCATGGATTAGTCTTTTGCTGTCTCGCCAGCTGTCAGAGCTCTGCAAGCAAGAGCCCCGTCAGGCTTCGGTGGCACCCTTCCTCCTCTTCCTCCAGGGTCAAGACCTACACGCCCCCCCCCCCAGAGTGATGCTGTGATGACCACAGCAGGTTTCGGTGAAGGGGCACTGGGGGGACTGGTGATCACAAGATGGGTTGTATGCCAGCACCTGCCAAGACCCAGGCTTCTCCCACATATGTCGAGGGTGGGGCTGAATTTGAAGGTACAATGAGGGTCTACGCAATGGAGGAGGGCTTGAGGGGTGCCCCGTTTTGCAGTACACAATGACACCTGTGAAGTGTGTACCACTCCTTCCCTCTTAATGATCTACTAAAATAAAAGAGCAAGGCTGACATGCAGTCAGTGCTGTCTCTCTGCCGAAACAATGCAAAAGACAGGGCAAAGCGGAGGACGAGCTGTAATGCCAGACAGATGGGGCCTCGGCTCTGCTACAAATCCTTGGATGTACTGACTTGTCTCTATCAGCGAGCGCCTAGTGAGAAGGAGGAGCCCTCCCCTGTTCTGGCTCCCAGCCTGGAGGTACCTTGGGTCTCAGTGGACCCCCAGCGCCAGGGCCTCAATGCTCAATGCCCCTCGCTGGGCCCCCAACCCCATCTTTGCAGTCCCAGCTCTGTTCTTTTTTTTTAAATTTTTTTATTGTTATGTTAATCCCCATACATTACATCATTAGTTTTAGATGTAATGTTCCATGATTCATTGTTTGTGCATAAC